GCTGGGTGCACAAGAATCAACTCCAGGATCGCACTCATATGATGATTCAAGTGTTCAGCTATTTGAATAAGAGGTTATTATGTTTCCTCTATTCCTCCTTCCAGTATCGTCAGGTTTACTTCCTTTGCCTATTTTTAGGCTCAGCCATATAAAAAAATCTCGTGTGTGTGTGTACTCACCTGTTGATACCTACTGAATCAACCTTTAACCCTAGACAATTGCCGGTTGCCGTGGCGTAGGACATTCCCCATGGCATAGTGGAAGACGCTTGCCTGGCGTTCCGCGAGCGCTTTATCCTGGGTTCGTATCCTTGTCGGGGTAGATTTATTGGGCGTCAATCCTTAACTGTAGCCTCTGTTTAACCCAACAGTAAAATGGGTACTTGGATGTTAAACGATTTGGTGAGGTCGTATTCCGGGGAACATAGGATTAAGGACTAACCCGAAACGCTATGCGTGCTAGTGGCTGTACAAGAATGTAAGAAGAACTCTTGTGTGTGTGTGTGTGTGTGTGTGTGTGTGTGTGTGTGTGTGTGTGTGTGTGTGTGTGTGTGTATATATATATATATATATATATATATATATATATATATATATATATATATATATATATGCGAACAAGCCTGAATGGTCCCCAGGACAATATGCAACTGAAAACTCACACCCCAGAAGTGACTCGAACCCATACTCCCAGGAGCAACGCAACTGGTATGTACAAGACGCCTTAATCCACTTGACCATCACGACCGGACATAATGAGGTGATAGCCGAGGCTATTTGAACCACCCCACCGCCGGCACTCGGATAGTAATCTTGGGCATAGCATTTTACCAAATCACCTCATTCTTTGGGGCACACGTGAGGAACACAAATGCGAACAAGCCTGAATGGTCCCCAGGACAATATGCAACTGAAAACTCACACCCCAGAAGTGACTCGAACCCATACTCCCAGGAGCAACGCAACTGGTATGTACAAGACGCCTTAATCCACTTGACCATCACGACCGGACATAATGAGGTGATAGCCGAGGCTATTTGAACCACCCCACCGCCGGCACTCGGATAGTAATCTTGGGCATAGCATTTTACCAAATCACCTCATTCTTTGGGGCACACGTGAGGAACACAAATGCGAACAAGCCTGAATGGTCCCCAGGACAATATGCAACTGAAAACTCACACCCCAGAAGTGACTCGAACCCATACTCCCAGGAGCAACGCAACTGGTATGTACAAGACGCCTTAATCCACTTGACCATCACGACCGGACATAATGAGGTGATAGCCGAGGCTATTTGAACCACCCCACCGCCGGCACTCGGATAGTAATCTTGGGCATAGCATTTTACCAAATCACCTCATTCTTTGGGGCACACGTGAGGAACACAAATGCGAACAAGCCTGAATGGTCCCCAGGACAATATGCAACTGAAAACTCACACCCCAGAAGTGACTCGAACCCATACTCCCAGGAGCAACGCAACTGGTATGTACAAGACGCCTTAATCCACTTGACCATCACGACCGGACATAATGAGGTGATAGCCGAGGCTATTTGAACCACCCCACCGCCGGCACTCGGATAGTAATCTTGGGCATAGCATTTTACCAAATCACCTCATTCTTTGGGGCACACGTGAGGAACACAAATGCGAACAAGCCTGAATGGTCCCCAGGACAATATGCAACTGAAAACTCACACCCCAGAAGTGACTCGAACCCATACTCCCAGGAGCAACGCAACTGGTATGTACAAGACGCCTTAATCCACTTGACCATCACGACCGGACATAATGAGGTGATAGCCGAGGCTATTTGAACCACCCCACCGCTGGCACTCGGATAGTAATCTTGGGCATAGCATTTTACCAAATCACCTCATTCTTTGGGGCACACGTGAGGAACACAAATGCGAACAAGCCTGAATGGTCCCCAGGACAATATGCAACTGAAAACTCAAATGCTATGCCCAAGATTACTATCCGAGTGCCGGCGGTGGGGTGGTTCAAATAGCCTCGGCTATCACCTCATTATGTCCGGTCGTGATGGTCAAGTGGATTAAGGCGTCTTGTACATACCAGTTGCGTTGCTCCTGGGAGTATGGGTTCGAGTCACTTCTGGGGTGTGAGTTTTCAGTTGCATATTGTCCTGGGGACCATTCAGGCTTGTTCGCATTTGTGTTCCTCACGTGTGCCCCAAAGAATGAGGTGATTTGGTAAAATGCTATGCCCAAGATTACTATCCGAGTGCCGGCGGTGGGGTGGTTCAAATAGCCTCGGCTATCACCTCATTATGTCCGGTCGTGATGGTCAAGTGGATTAAGGCGTCTTGTACATACCAGTTGCGTTGCTCCTGGGAGTATGGGTTCGAGTCACTTCTGGGGTGTGAGTTTTCAGTTATATATATATATATATATATATATATATATATATATATATATATATATATATATATATGTCGTACCTAGTAGCCAGAACTCACTTCTCAGCCTACTATGCAAGGCCAGATTTGCCTAATAAGCCTAGTTTTCATGAATTAATGTTTTTTCGACTACCTAACCTACCTAACCTAACCTAACGTTTTCGGCTACCTAACCTAACCTAACCTATAAAGATAGGTTAGGTTAGGTTAGGTAGGGTTGGTTAGGTTCGGTCATATATCTACGTTAATTTTAACTCCAATAAAAAAAAATTTACCTCATACATAATGAAATGGGTAGCTTTATCATTTCATAAGAAAAAAATTAGAGAAAATATATTAATTCAGGAAACTTGGCATATTAGGCAAATCGGGCCTTGCATAGTAGGCTGAGAAGTGAGTTCTGGCTACTAGGTATATATATATATATATATATATATATATATATATATATATATATATATATATATATATATATATATATATATATATAAAATAATGCAATGACACACCACAACTCCCACCACAAGATAGGAACACCCTGAACATTATCCACCACTACAGTACGCATTAGCAGGCACTGACGCTACAGTCATCTTAGAGCACATCATCTTGAACCCTTGAGGAGTAATGAACATACTCATATGAACTTTAATAAATTAGCAAAAATTTTAATAAAATAAATAATTATTGCAAAAATAAATTAAGAAGTGGAGGTGGCATGGGTAGCAGTCCTACCACAAGGATTCCAGCTGTGTGGAGCCCCGGTGAGAGGGAACCTATGTTGTCTGGACGAATTTATATAGGAAGTGACTTCAAGTTCAGTATACTAATAGTTCCTGGAGAATAAATTACTATTCTTTACCATACGCACAAATAATTTAGATGCAAAAGTGAACCTTCACATTTAATAGTTAGGAACAACACTAATAAGGAGGATAATAAATTAGGACCAGAGCGCAAAAACATTAATGAAAACTTACACACAACTTAAACTTGGACTGAAAAATTGGTAGATGCAGTTCAGTGCCAACGAGTATAAGGTCTAAGCGTTGGAAAGAAATCGACAAATTCAATTGTGGACGAGGATTTTGAAGTCATGATTAATAGGATTCTAAAACCAAAAAGACTACAAAATGCTGGACATGAGGCCAATATATTGGAATGATAGGCAGAAGCACGAATAATATAAGCTGTAACGTCAGCCTCCAGCTTTATCTTTCCCTTGTGAGGCTCCCTTGGTGCACCATACTATACATGTAAATTTGCTTGAAAGAGTACGGAGAAGGATGAACAAGTTAAACTCTTGCATTTACAAACCTCCCTTATAAAAAATGGCTAACAAATATTAATTTTTATTCCCTGGAAAGGTGTTGAGTAAGAGGGGAAATTATTTAAGAGATGAAAGAGCTTGAAAATAATTTTTTTTATCATGGACAGCCAGCCATATTGTAAATATATGTATATACATTAGGTTTATATCGAGGTCCCTCCAAGGTCGAACTACTGACCTTCCCCAAGATACAACCCCACAACAGCTGCTGTTGTTTTAGATTCAACTACTCTAAAACAACTGCTCTAGAACAAAAAGTTCCAAGTAGCACGGGCTATGGTGAGCCCGTAGTGAACTTACCTGGCACAGGAGCGAGGCTGTATGTGCACAACAGCTAACTCCCGGGTACATAAATACTGCTAGGTGAGCAGGTACATTAGGTGAAAGGAAATGTGCCCAACCATTTCTATCCAGCCCGTAATTCGAACCCGGGATTCCCGATTGTGAGTCGAGAACGGACCCAAATATCAGCCCAAGTTATACACGAAACAATAGATTCAGATTGAAAAGTTTATTTAGAAAATATATAGGCACACACACACACACTCTGGCCTTGAAATAAGGCTGCAAATCCGGTTTAACAAGTTACAAAGACATATTAAATGTAGACGTCTTTATTCCTATGTTCTTAGGCAAAATACGCAAGACCCATATATTGAACCTATGGGGGATCCTGATAGCTGCCTATGGATACCAATTGCTGCCTTCTTGGACAAAAAAAGTTAGGCACGTACCCCCAGGAAAGTACACCATTACCGGGTAACAACAGTTGGGCACGTAGTTTCCAGAGAGTACATAATTGACAACATCAGTTGGGTACGTCGCCCAAGTAGAGTACATTAACAATAACAGTTGGGTACGAATAGGCAGTGCACATAGTTGCCAACAACAGTTGAGTACGTAATTTCGCGATAGTTCAGCACTATAAAAATATACAGGAGAAAAAGACAGATCGCAAAGTTGCCTTTCTTTAAGGGATCGGAGATACTGAAAGAATGTCAGCCTGGCTGTGATTAAACTGCGGACGGTGGGGCATGGTTCACCCCTCCCCCAGCGCGCACACACACGCACACACACACACACACACACACACACACACACACACACACACACACACACACACACGAACGCACGCGCACACGCCCGCACACACACACACACACACACACACACACACACACACACACACACACACACAGGTGACCGAGACCGGAGGTACACCACGTGGAAATGTAGAAGGAAACTTACCTGGGAGGAGTGGCAAGGGACAGCAGGTCATGACCTCATCTGCAGGGGGACAGAACAATGCCAAGTCAGTTAATAAGCAACACAACTCATATCTGCTCAACACACAGTGGTCGTGCAATTCTACAAAATGTTATCCACTACACATAAACAGTATGAGTTGTTTTAAATATAAGGAAAAATACAACTTATACTAAAAACATGAAATAAAAACACGTAAAACACAAGACAGCAAAAAAGGTAGGCCTATTCCTTCGCTGAAGGAGATGTCTATAGCTGCATGCAGCTTTACAACACAAACTTCGTTACTTACTATTCATGCCACCAAGTGAACTGCACAAGAGCCAATAAACACACACACAAAGCAATTTATTTTTAATATACAGTTAGTTTATTGTCATCAATAATAGGAATAGTATTCAATGATAGGATAGTAACAGTTTTGAGCCAACAAAAAGTTATACATATTGCCGTAAAGGATACTAACAAGAGCCTAATGCGCACCAAATTCACTGCAGGCTAATGCATCGGAGGCGGAAGTTTCTTTGGCTTTCCACACCTTCACACCCTAGCCCCTCACCCCCACCTTCCTCTGCCAAGCCTCCACCTGCTCCCACTTCTTCCTGCTTAACTTACACCCCCCTCCCTCCTCCAACCTCTAATACGTTTCCCTCTGTTCCTTCTTCCTCCGCTACTTTTATTGCCTATAGACGCATGCTAGACCTATATATTACCTATAGACCTATAGCATGCTCTGCCCGCTCGCTATACCTCCACCCTTCTCACGACACAAACCTCTCTCACTTTTCCCTCTATTCCCGATATCTATTATTTCACTCCGCCTTTCCCACAACATTCATCCGTATCCTATCCACCTCCAATTCTCCCTTTCCCATTTCTAAGTTTACCAATCCTTTCTCCGTGTCCCAACCTCCACCACTCCCTCCCTCTTCTCCCCTTAACCTCCACCGCCCTGCCTCAAGTCTAGACCACAAATACCTGCAGCCTTAAGTGCGCCCCACCTCCCAGAACTACTTACTCCCTGTCCAACATGGCCCCGGTTATGGGCTCACTATAGCCCGTGCTACATGGAAATTTTGTTCCGAGTAGCTGAATCTACAACACCACCATGGCCTCGGCAAGCACAGTGTCGGCACCCTCGAAGGCTTGTGTATGCACACACAGACGAACCTCAAACACATCTGGCGTGTGTATACGAGGTTGACCTTTGATGACGTTTATAACGGACGGCCTCCGTTAAATTTTATGTTTTTCACTTTAGTTCAATAAGGTATCTTGTTAGTGTATTATTTACACAATGAACAATATAACCGGTAATTTTGTCAGAGTTTTGACTGAATGTGTCTGAACTTAAAACGGCGTCCAGAACAAGCGAGAGTGTGAGACTGGATTATACATGTCAAAGAGCTGCAGACACCAGCACTCTGTGCACACCCAATGTACAGGACACAGTTTTGAAAAAAAAACATAATTATACATGGTACAAAGCTAAATTAACGCCCATTAACGTGCAAAACAATATGTAAATTACAATGAAAGCATATCTGAGGAACACACACTAGTTGAACAGAGGTTTCAAGCAGTTTTTTGAGTGTCCAAAATATTTACAAATTACAAAAATATAACATAAAAAATAATATACAGTAGTTACTCTTAGTCATTAGTGACAAAAAGTAGAAGCCTAATCACAAGTCAGTTCTCTATCGCAGCATACCGACAAATGTACACAAAGATGCCCCTTGACGTGCTTAAGCTTCCTTCCTAGTTACTTACATAAACGGTCCTACTGCATTAAGCACATTAATATTTACATACATACGAGAAAATTATGTAAAGCACAAAGCATAAATATGACAAAGCAACACTGGGAAACCACACTTGACGAAACGAAGCCTCTGAAAACGCGGGAAATTAAAAGACGAATTAGTACCTTAGGCTTAGCCAAGCTTATATTAGGTGGTTTCGTTAGGTTTAGAAGCAAGATATTATGTACTTACGTCACACCGCATACGAATGAGTTGAAGAAAGCGCACCTACTTCAACCCAAGCCTAATTGGCCTAATCTATTCCACTTGTCTTAACCGAATAAAATATTTTCTTAAATGTACATAAGCAGGAACTTCGAAATATTCTTAGACATGCTTATCCACAATCAACATTTTAGAAAGTCTCGCAATCGCTAGAAGTCAACCTGAGTTGAACAGCCCAGAGTCGTCGACTCAGTTGTTTATACATGAATGGTCTTCTTCTGTGATGTATGTTGCTGCGTTGTTATTATTCCCTCCTTAACCAGACCACACACTAGAAGGTGAAGGGACGACGATGTTTCGGTCCGTCCTGGACCATTCTCACAATCGACTTGAGAATGGTCCAGGACGGACCGAAACGTCGTCGTCCCTTCACCTTCTAGTGTGTGGTCTGGTCAACTTACGTTAGCCACGTTATTGTGACTCATCGCCTGCTTATTCCCTCCTTGTGTACAGCTCTGTCTTTTTTTTTTTATACAATTTAGTTTTAGGTATTTCATTTTCAATCATGCAGACGATGAGTCACAATAACGTGACTGAAGATATGATGACCAAACCACACATCAGAAGATGAGGAGACGACGACATTTCGGTCCGTCCCTGACCATTATCAAGTCGTGTCCTTGATAATAGCACCGAAACGTCGTCGTTTCTCCATTTTCTGGTGTGTGGTTTTACACATTATAACAACAATAAATACAGGACATAAAAATAGGTACGGATAAAAGTAAATGAGAAGATACAAAGACAATCCTCCAGCAAGGCTTCCTGAAGACAGATGAACAACTTCAACAACGCACAAGAACTCAATTGTGGCCGATACCACACAGGGAGAAAGCATTCAGCCAAATATACACCACAAACGCACTAAGCACAACATGCACTAAAAAGAACTCCCAGAACACTGCAAGATGCGCAGTTTTACTAATGTGAGGCACAAACAGTGATAAGTCCAAACGACTTTCCAATCCGCATTGTACCAGATAAAATCACTAGAAAATTTAGACTAACATGGAAACTAATGGTAATTTGTTTTAAGGTTTGATTTGCAATTTTCCATCTACTGAGATTTCTGCATTTAAATTCACATTAAAAACTAGTTTATTGAAATCAAAACTATTTAATCTTTATATAGTGTTTTATGTATAGACATAACATTGTAGACGTTTTTAATAACATGGAAACAACAGACGAAATCTTTATGCGAATAGATCTAAATTTAACCATATACAAATAAGAATGATTATAAGAAAGCCCGCCGGCACTGCAGTGTCTTGATGCTTCACTGTTACAGTGAAGTTCACTGTACAGCTACAGTTCACTGCTCTTTGACCAAAGAAGCAGAGCTCAACCCCCGCAAGCACAACTATGTGAGAGCACCCTGAACATGTTTGGCAGGGTCCGTGACCCAGCTGGGTGGACGGGGTTGCTGGCAGGGATGTGCTGAGTGCCTGTCACACCCTCCATGTTGGCTCAGGCGCACCTAGCCTCATACACACCTTATGGCTGCAGGCACAGAAATATGTCTCATTATTTATGTCCCCCTTTTTTGACATTCTTGTTAGCAATGTAGACATTCTTCTAGACATTTGTAATTGAGTAACGCAGAAAGAGTGAGATCACTGATTCTAGCACGAAATCTAATCTATATTTTTTATGTTCTGCACTTGAGACGGGAGCTGAAAAATTAACTCCAATTTGCTTATACAAAAACCTCTCCCGACACCAAATGAAATGCCTTGAAAGACGCGAATGTCGTTTATGGCTTCACATGCCCACTTGGGGACTGTCAACCACAATCATCTCATAATATAGGCATGACAACAATGTTTTTTTAAGGGGCTTGCCAATGCCCAAACAGCAAGGCCCCCATCAAGCAACATATGGTCTCCACACCACAACCAGATCATCTCCAGAGATATCCTGACCAACAACATTGAAATAATCGAGAGATTATTTCAGTGTTGTTTAGACAATACAGAATGACAACAGAAAGTTAGACATCGGCCAGACACTATACATTAAACAAACTCAGCCAACTGTCAACATACAACTAACCATCAAGTTATATTCTGCCATCTTGGAGATCAAGACAGAACATCCAGCATACTGCCCCAGCCACAAATGAAACACAGGAGATGGGTAAGCTGCAACGGGTCTATTTTTTTTTTTTACAATTTAATACTGAAGATTTTAACAAATAACATGGAAGACGTGAATAAGATGTGATATTTCTCAAGGTCTTGGAGAAGAGGACACTGGCTATTGGCCCATGCGACACCTCACCTTCTGTATATTCGGATACTTCAGCCTAAGTGTATTCAAGTCTACTCTATTACGGGCTATTCATGCCCGTGCCACCTCTTGGGTCAACCCGTTCTCGCACTTGCTTATAGTCAATATTGGCTTATTTAATAAGTGCATATGTGACATACTAATTGATTGTGAATATTTTAGTTTACCTTGAAATGCTTCATAGAAAACACCGACCTCACCTAACCTTCTTAGTATGTTAAGATAGGCATCTTATTGCTTCTTAATTACAATATTTACTTAACCTATACCGTTGATAGGTTAAGTAATAATATAAATATGAAGCAATAAGATGCTTATCTTAACATACTAAGAAGGTTAGGTGAGGTCGGTGTTTTCTATGAAGCTTTTCAAGGTAAACTAAAATATTCACAATTAGTATGTCACATATGCACTTATTAAATAAGCAAATATTGGCTGTAAGCAAGTGCGAGAACGGGTTGCTTGGGTGGCTTAATCTTTATCAATCACTTCTACCCCTGCCTTTGAAAATGTTGACAGGGGTCAATGAAACACATATCTTAGCGTCAGCCCATACTACAACTGTAAAATAATCTTTGGAGAGTTCATTTTTCAACTCCCTGCTCAAGTGAAGAAAAACAATTAAATATACAAAAATATTCGTGCTAGAATCACTGATGTTACCCTTTATATCATATTCAATTCATATATACATGCATA